ACACACATCTGGGGAGGGCATCTGACACACACCGGGCATCACACGGCGAGGGCATCTGACACACACACTGACACGGGAGGGAGAGCATCTGACACACCACCGGGGGAGGCATCCTGACACACACGGGGAGGGACACCTGACACACACACACACACCGGGATCACACACGGGAGGGCATCTGACACACACCGGGAGGGCACTGACACACACACACGGAGGGATCTGACACACACGGGGAGAGGGACTGACACAACCTCTGACACACACACAGGGCACCTGACACTGACACACACAGGGAGGGCACCTGACACACACACACGGGAGGGGGCACCTGACACACACACGGGGAGGGAGGGGGGAGGGAGGGCACCTGACACACACACACGGGGAGGGAGGGCACCTGACACACACACACGGGGAGGGAGGGCACCTGACACACTGCATCAGTTCTACTGTGAGGAAATGTTCTGCAGTGGGGCTTTAACTTTCTGAAGAGTGTTTCTGTTTTGACTCTTTGTTTCTGTTGGTTTATTCTGCCCCCTGCTGCTCGACACAGGAACTGTTCTAACAGACCAGCAACTTTAGACCTGGTTTAGACCTGGTTCAGACCTGGTTTAGACCTGGTTTAGACCTGGTTTAGACCTGGTTCAGTCCTGGTTCAGACCTGGTTTAGACCTGGTTTAGACCTGGTTTAGACCTGGTTTCCTGGTTCAGTCCTGGTTTAGTCCTGGTTTTTTCAGTCTGGTTTTCAGTGGTTTATTCCTGGTTTTTGTTTTTCAGTTGTCGTTCCCAAAGGCGAAGTTGTTGCTCATGTCCAGTGATCAGGACGACTTCAACGACTGGAACAGCTGCCTCACCTCCGCCGTCAGGTGACCCCTGACCTCTGACCCTCTGACCCTTGACCCTCTGACTCTGACTGAACCTGACTCTGTGACCCTTTGACTCTGACCCTCTGACCCTTTGACCTTTCTGACCTTTGACTCTGACTCTGACCCTTTGACCCTTTGACTTGTTGACCCTTTGACCCCTTTGACTCTGACCCTTTGACTCTCTGACCCTTTGACCTTTGAACCTGACTGACCCTTGACCCTCTGACCCTTTGACCTCTTGACCTTTGACCCTCTGACCCTGACTTTGACTCTGACCTGACTCTGACCCTGACCCTCTGACCCTTTGACTCTCTGACCCTTTGACCCTTGACCCTTGACCCTTTGACTCTCTGACCCTTTGACCCTTTGACTCTTTGACCCTTTGACCCTGACCCTCTGACCCTTTGACCCTCTGACCCTTTGACCCTTTGACTCTCTGACCCTTTGACCCTCTGACCCTTTGACTCTTTGACCCTCTGACCCTTTGACCCTCTGACCCTTTGACTCTTTGACTCTCTGACCCTTTGACTCTCTGACCCTTTGACTCTCTGACCCTTTGACCTCTGACCCTTTGACTCTCTGACCCTTTGACCCTCTGACCCTCTCCTCTTCTTCTTCTGGTCGTGTTTGTTTCAGGAAGTTCCAGTCTAAGCCCACAGTGATTCATGATAAAGTGTGTGTTGGTGTGTGTGAGAGCAGCGGCGCCCCCCACAGGAAGAGACCAGCGGTGAGACGCACATGAAACACACATTTAAAAAAACAAACTCTGTTGTTTATTTACTGCAGCTCAGGACTTTTAACACTATTCTACTTCTGTTTATATATTTAAAGTATTTGTTGTGGTAGAGGAAGAGACAAAAGATTAAATAAAGTTTAATAAACAGGAATGTCAAAGGTTAAGAAAAAATAAACTAAACTAAACTAGTGTCTCACAAAGTGTCTCAGATCAGTTTCATTCAGTTTCATGTCATTTTACACACAGATTTAGAGACAAACCTGATCACTTCAACTCACACACATGTTTGATGTCCCTCTGTCTCTTGTGTGTCTCTGTGTGTGTGTGTGTCTCTGTGTGTCTCTGTGTGTGTCTCTGTCTCTGTGTGTGTCTCTGTCTCTGTGTGTGTCTCTCTGTGTGTCTCTGTGTGTGTCTCTTGTGTGTCTGTCTGTGTGTCTCTGTGTGTGTCTCTGTGTGTGTCTCTTGTGTGTCTCTGTGTGTGTCTCTTGTGTGTGTCTCTTGTGTGTCTGTCTCTGTGTGTGTCTCTCTTGTGTCTCTGGTGTGTGTCTCTGTCTGTGTGTGTGTCTCTGTGTCTCTGTGTGTCTCTTGTGTGTCTCTGTGTGTGTCTCTGTGTGTCTCTGTGGTGTGTCTCTGTGTGTGTGTGTCTCGTGTGTCTCTGTGTGTGTGTCTCTCTGTGTCTCTGTGTGTGTCTCTCTGTGTGTCTCTGTGTGTCTCTGTGTGTCTCTTGTGTGTGTGTCTCTTGTGTGTCTCTGTGTGTGTGTCTCTCTGTGTGTCTCTGTGTGTGTGTCTCTGTGTGTGTCTCTGTGTGTGTCTCTGTGTGTCTCTTCTGTGTGTCTCTGTGTCTGTGTCTCTTGTGTGTCTCTGTGTGTCTCTTGTGTGTGTCTCCTGTGTGTCT